TCTACCGGCCATTGCCTACTAAATGAAAATTTGAATTTTCAGGTCGAGTTTAGTGGTCGAAAATACGGGCAAATTAAGGAGAATGTTTAATAATTTCTTTGTAATATACTATTTCCCTATAAAATAGCATCGAAATATTTGCTTGGTGGAAAAGAATGCAGGTCGAAATTCGAAGTCTTGATTTTTAGAGGCAGTTGTTCTCAATTTCTATTCGGTCATGAAATCCTAAATAGTCGACATTCTTCCAGACTTCAAAAATGAAATTCTTTAGAAGTTACAAAAGTGTTAACCACTGAAAAATAACTCATTATTTTGAAAATATTTAATATGAAGGATGGAGCCGTGATGGATCCCCGTTTGTCTCCCAATGAAGTATGAATCCCACCGATGGCTGTTCGATATCGAACACATTGCACCAACCACATACCACCAAATACATTGCTGATGTAAAACATCCTCAATGATAGACGGATCATGAGTTAGAGTCCCATTACCATCAGACTAACCGTGAGAGGCTTTCGGGATTTTTCTCACCATGCAACAGAAATGCAGATTAGTTCTGTCAAAAAGTCCTCCGCGAATCCAAATTTCCCCCTATACTTGATAAAGTTCTTCTCCCTTCCCTTCTGGATTGGTTTAAAAGTTACAAGGCTACGGAGTTGTACATTGGTAGACGTAAATTTAAAATTAGGTTAGCTGTTCAACGACGGTCGAACCTGATGATTTAACTCTGTTTTTATTGTTAATTCAACCACCAACTTGTTTTCTTTTTAATTTTTATTAAATTTTATTTAGTATAAAAACTCATTAAATATTTTTCGTTAACGAGATTGTCTAGCAGAAGTTATGAAAGTTAATTCCTAATATTAATTCAGATTTTGAATAGTTTTGTTATCACAATTTTAATTTCATACCTTAATTGGACACTTATAAAAGTAAATGTAGCTAATTAAAATTGAAATAACTTATTAACATTTTAATACATGTAAAGGTAAATACCTTCCTCATCTAATGTCGCTCTATGGTATGCATTTGATGAGATTTTCAACTTTGACTTATAAGCTTAATCCTGTTATGCAGATATCACTGTTCTGATGCTATCAGCATAATCCTAACATCATGTAATTGCTAATTACATAAAGTAATGCCATCTTTAGTTTTAAAACTTTAGCCTACCTCCAACTTATAATCAGAATCAGTAACGTAATTACAGCTGGGAATAATATTAGAAAAGAGATAATAAATTAATATTACTGCTAATACCTTTAAATCAGAGGAAAATAAATAATTTTACTGATAAATATTAACTTTTTTAAGCTGGTTACAGTCAACGATATCTGTAACTTTCTCTTTCGGTAATATTATGTTACTTTTTTGTCCAATGAGATTGTGCAAAACGATAAGACAACAATAGCATTTTTATGATACATCGAGAAATATAACACATCATGGGTATAATACTAAACACCTGTTTTCAAAACTTTGTGGTTTAAATTTATGATATACTTTATGATATTGATACCTACGATGTAAGATCTTCCCAAATTTAGTCTATTCAATTAAACATGAATATATAACTTCAGATGTTTTATTACTAATCAATACACTAACAAAATGATTTTAACTTACTCACTGAATAGACGTTATTTTATTTTTATTTTATGAGGAAAAAAGAAACAGATTAAGCAAGATTTAGTATGGTATCAATAAAATGTACAAAAGAAACGTTTTCTTGAAAATTCTGTTCATTTCTTCTGGAATGGTTCTGCCGCTCCAGAAAACCGAAAAGATATCTTACGAAATACCTTCCGTCCACTTAAATCCGTATTTAGCTTCCACCTACGTTCCATCTGTAGATAGAAATGGAATAGTGTCAGGGATTTTGTGCCCATCTCCAGAGATTTCCCGGAAAATCCAGTTATTCCTCCTTTAATTTTGTTTTCCAGTGAGAATCAGGTCGTTGGATTCTCGGTCCTGGCAGAAAATCGATGGTATAAAAGAATACTTTTCTCTCTATTTTTTTTAGTACTTTTTCGTTTGTTTTTGTATCAAACACAGAAAATTCTTCGGTTCCTTGGCTTACGAAACATTTGCTTCGAATCAGTTTTGATTAAGGGAAAGGAAAATTGTTTGAACTCCTTTGATAACATATGTTGTTGTTTTCTTTTGTGCCGTGTAATAAGTTAACGTAAGTTGACTTAATTTTACTGAAGATTGAAAAAATAGAGAAATCTTTATCGCTCCTTTTTCATTTTACTTGTTTTGGCTAGTTAAAAACGAATGTTGAAAGACACTGATAGGGGTCTTCTGAAAGAAGATCGGTATCTAAAAGCAAAAAATACTACATAGGCAGAGCGATAATTTTACATTCATCACAATTGAACTTTGTATTTACAAATTATAAAACACATGGGGAAACACATATAAACTAAGCTAGTGTAATTAGATTTGATTATTTGTGATAGAGTTGATAGATGGGACACCTGCGTCTCTTTCATATGTTTTTTCCTAACGCTCTAATTGGGTACTTACACTCCAAGAAGATCACGAATACCCACACATACCCATAATATCAGTGCCAGCTGATCGCGTATAAACAAATGACGTGTTAAAGTTGAGCTAAGTTTCTCCACATAATTAGCATGCTAATTAACGTGATATTAATTAAAATACAGTGCCGTATCACACATCGAATTTATTAAAATGTTATTCTTTCTCGTCTGCGTCTTTTACTTAACTTAAATTTATTATTTGTTTATGTATTTTATTGTAACCGTGATGTAATTTTGTTTTGTGTGTGTACATGGCACCTCCGATGCATAATTATTAGTTTATGTTCTACGTGACTTTATGCCTGTCTTTGTGTTAAGCAGGAAATATATAATTCAAGAATTGAAATTGCTGTGTAAGAATATAGAATGTGTCACTTAAAAAATTGATACTTGACAGGCTTGGTTTACTCGAAATAGAATAGAAAAAATCAGTTGCTAACGTAAACAAATTCACCATCTCTACAAATCTTCACCTTTCCACAAATTCACCATCTTTCATGAAAAAAAATATTTTATGTCTTTCCGCATGTGTAAGTAAAAATGCACAGCAAAAATAATAAGTAAATACATTTTTAACCATGCTTAACTGCACACTAAGAATATTTTTCTTTTCTTCTAAATTTTCAGTCAGTGATTAATCTAATTGTCTATGTAATCATTGAATAACTTTTACTAAATATTTTTTTACAACTAGCTCAATTTTTGGTAAATAGGTTTTCCACGGCATTATGAGCTAAAATATCGATCTCATATCTTGCTCTTCTAAAGAAAAAAAGAAAAAAAGGAGGGAAAAGATTAATGGCGCTAACCTTGTTACCATTCTTTTTCGCTTTTTTTTTTCTTTTCTTTTTTTTTTACCAGTCGCCCTCTTTACCTACACCCATACTCTAGAGTAAAATAAATGTCGAAAAAAAAAAAGAAATATCTGAGCTAAGTGACACAGTCCAGAGTTTCATTAGTCAAAGTTACTACGTGCAATTTACTTTACAGTACTATTCGGCCGTGAGAAAATCGATTCACTTTGCTTCTAATTAAGAGAAAATACTTGCTTTTACCTCGCTTTTCACAGTTAATGATGATGATTTCTCCAACTCGACCTCAACTTTTAGCGAATCAATTCTCCCACTTTAGGGGCAGAGATCTGATAATTAAATACTCCATTTTGATGATTATGTTTCTTTTTTTTCGCTCTCTCTCTCTATTCATCATTTTAAGTGAACAGAAGCTAAAAAAAATGTTAGTTTTTGGAAAAGGAAGAAAATTTTTAAATCTGTTTGCTTTCATTGCATTTAATCGTGTTAATGGTTGCTTTTGAATTGTAATATAAGAAAAAAATTGTGTTTTAACCCTTGGTATGAGGATATTTCAGACACAGATACATCTATGCAATTTATTTTTTTACTGGAAATTAGTCGTAAGGAGCGAAATTTTCTGATGGAATTTTCTTTTAAATTTTCATCAATTTTGATTTTAAAAAAAATAAATAAATAAAAATCCGACAGAAACAATTTTTGAAAATGAAAGATAATAATTTTTTCGATCTTCACTGTTGAACGGGGTTTTCCCATTGTCCGAAAAAGTATCTTTTTCATAAATTTTAGTTTTCTGTGCATCACAAATTTTAAAAATTGAAATTGCACTAATTTTTTAAACAGGAGGTACGAAGCTGTGAAAACTATTAATATATTAGATAGACTCTTAGGCTAATTTTCTAATTAAGAAGTTATATTAGGCTTAAATGTGTTAAGTAATGTTAAGCCTAATGTTATGTTTAGTTTCCTTTTAACTGACGGGCAGTGAGTTTCACTTAGATCATCTTCCAACTACTCCTGGTATTAGTTGCTAAATGTATGCATCCCAGACGTTAATTTGGCATGTTTAGATTCAAATTATTTTTTTAAAAAATTCCAGATGACTTGGTAAAAATTGCTTATTCAGTCAGAAAATCTTTATATATAGACTACATCAGCACGAGGCCACATTGCTATGTCTCATTAAAGAAGATCTACCGGAGACGCAAAGGGTTTAAATGGCTAAATTTATTGATTTTATTTTAATTATTTCTATTTAGTTATTATTATTACATCGTGGAGAGGATATAAGGATATCTTCACATTCATTTAGAAAGTTTAAAATGATCTTTTTTTTAATGTATAATATCTGAGATATTATTGAATGACATAATGCACTATTTATACCAATTTGCATTACGCTCTATAATGTAAATGAGGGATGATAAAATGAAATCATAAATATTTTGCTCGCATGTTTCTAATTCATTGATCAATGTATGTCATATTCATACGGTTAAAGATGCAATATTTTATTGATGACAGTCAAAATTTGCACATTTTGAGATTATGAAAAATTAGATATTATAATGAAGTTGACATGTTATTTATTACTGCAGCAATGATTGAACGTTTCAATTTTTGTTCCTTCTTTCAGCACGAAACCTTCAGTCCTGGGTCCCCGACGTGCCCTCGCATGGATCGTCGCCACTCGTCGCAACCATCGACGGTGTCGAGCTCCCTGGGGGGGAACGTGGACATTTGCCGCATCTGTCACTGCGAGGGAGACGCTGAACTACCCCTCATCTCCCCCTGCTTCTGTGCTGGCTCTTTGCGCTACGTCCACCAATCCTGCCTCCAGCAGTGGATCAAGAGTTCAGACACGAGATGCTGCGAACTCTGTAAATTCCAGTTCATCATGCACACAAAGATCAAGCCATTTCGAAAGGTCTGACTTTTTTTTTACTTTATACTTAAAAAAAAAAAAAATTACATTATTATGGCGATAAACACCCTTAAATGGGTCGGGGCCTATAAAGGAATTGGGATTTAGATGTATACAACAAACATCAAGAAATTACAATTTAGAAACAATTAAAAGCAAAAAGCTCCTTCAGTACCTTAACCTAATCCCACCCTGAGACACAAAAAGAGAGTTACAAAATTTCCTTAGAAATATGAGAATAAAGCTTTCACGTGCGAAAAGTGGGGATGAGAAAGACAAAGCAGACAAAACCTAGTAACGAAATAGAGGATAATAGTACTCCCTAAGAAAAATCAGTCACTCGCTTTGAAGCATAATATCAGTACCTTGAACGATAAAAAGGGGTAAATCTGTTGCAACCTTAATATAGGCTGTAAAATGAACCATATTTCCTTTCAGGTAGAACCATAGTATCGTGTAATCAAGTTAAGAATCATGAGGGATGATTAATGGTTTCGCCAAAAAAAAATCCTCAATAAAATTGCTCTGAAAACTCACATTGATAAAATGTATAGTAAATGCCCGAGCTGTTAAATATACATCACGCACACACATTCCAAGCCTTAAAAACATCAATAAACCTATCTTTAACAGACAATCTCGTAATAAAGTCACCATCAACATATCTTAATTCTTACTTTCTACAACATATCCAGCCGTGTCCTCACTTTTTGCAACCTTTACATGTTAGACGAGATACAACGCTTACCAACACTTCATTTTTTAACGTGGTTCGTGTTTTTTCTTTTTTTCAATTAACATTAAGAAAAAAGTAGAAAACCAAAAAACTGAATCTATTATGGGATTTTTAAACAAACAGCTCTTATTTACTTCCTCCCTAACACGACAATTTATGTAAAACGATGGTCATCCTAACTATTCAACTCCAAAGTTAACTATCTGGAGCCTTAATTTTTCAATTCTACAATCCAAACAATTTAAATCTAAAAGCAGCGATCAATTTTATAAATGGCTGACTCGAGAAATTATTCGTTTAATTTTGCGCTATTTTTAAACAAGGCGATCTTTTAACGTGGTAAAACAAGGCGATCTTTTCCTTTAACAAAAAAGTCATTCTTGTGTCCTAAGATTATTAAATGAAGAAATATTTTTTTAACATATTTCTTACACAGAAATTCTTAGAAATTGAAGAGTACGTAATAGAATGGTATGAAATATGGGCAATAATAAAATATGGAAATTTAGTTTTCCTACAACTATTAACATTACTACACATCTATTAATTTTAGATTCGTTATTATAAAAACCACCAGTTTCGTTTAACTTATTCAAATTATAAAACTTTTTTATTTATATATCCGCACATCATATGATAAAATAAATAAAAAGCTATTCAAGTACTTAAATGCTGGACAGCTCTTGTAATCTCAGCTGTTGTTGTGCAAGTGCAACATGAGTATTGATTTACAGTGACTCTTTAAAACTTACCCGATTTAGTGCCAAATTAAAAGCAAACAAAATATCTAGGATATGTTTGATCGCGAAATGTGTGTCTGTGTACACAACCTGATTCATTTCTGAACTATTTATAATATTTGGATGATACTGAAAATGTGCATTTTTTTTTATAGACTATAAAATTTTAGAACAATATTGTTGCTATTAAAACATACTTGCTTAGCTCAAGTCATGACTATTTTTATCTTCTAAGTTTTTTTTGCGTTTAATTATGGGTAAAACAAATATAACTCAACTATCTTTGATTTATTACGAATACATTTCGCAGTTTTTTTAAGAACACTTAATCAGAATTTGGTGTGAATCTATTTGAAATGTGATATTGATTAATTTATTTAGATAAAATTAAGGCAATAAATATCGAAAATAAACTAATAAAATTAAAGAAAATTACATTTATTTTCACTTAAAAAAATTATTTTCGTTCATTTATAGTTCGAGAGACAGCATCGCATAATGTATATACACATCGCATGCAAATAATTCAGCTCTTCTCAAACGGGAGCAGCCATTTTGTAATGAATAAAAATTGTCTCAGTCCTTTCTCAATTAACCTTTTTATTTCAGACAATTTACAATAATCCCAGATTCTTATTAAATATCCTTATTAAAGGCTTATATCAGGAAGCCTAAGTATTTCCTAATCAGCCTGAAACTCTTTATGCTATCACAATTATCACAATGAGCAAAAGTACCATTAGGTTGATTAGAAAATTATCATTCGTTGCACAATTAACTTCATTTCAGAAAATGTGCAAAAACCCCAGAGTGAAGGTCTATATTGCAGTGTAATAGGAAAATCAACGTAAGTGACAAAAATTCAAATTTGAGATTTTTATATATTTGACTTTTTTGTATGATAAGCAATATATATTGCAAAAAAAAAATCAGTTTTTATCTGTCTTCTGAAATTCTATTTTAGCGTTCCTAGCGTTAGCGATAGAAAGACTTCAGGCAACTTTTCTCGAAATCTATCGTGAAGAACTTGCGTTGTTTTTTAAATTGCATGGCGGTATAGTAACAAGTCTTATAAAAGGTTTATTGAAATACAATTAAACAAATTCAGTTTGAATAATTATTTGCTAATTTCCTAAGAAGCCCGAAAACGTGCACGCTAGTTACAATAAACCTAAAAATATCAGAGTAGAAATACTGAAGACTTTTTCCAATTAGCGGGGTACATTGCAAAATGCCATCCATATTTGCAAAGAGTCGGTTTTTTCAATTAGCCTACAATATACATACTCTGCAGCTTAAAACAGAATGATTGACCTTTATTTTACGTGATCATCGACGTGTTAAGCATCATATCATAAAAATTCCGACTTTAAAATGACAGTCAGCGGAAGAGATTGCATATGAAAAAAATAAATTATCAGTTTAAATGTAACACTCGAAAAATAGCAAATTTTTATTTCATTGTTAATTAATCATTTTTCATTCTCACTTTGTGTTCAATAAAAAGTCTAAGTCTTTCGTTGCATATCTAGACTAGCATATAAACGGTAATTATTTTTTTAAAGCTTGCAGTAAGTTTTCTAAAACAATTGCATGTTTTCAAAGAACTTTTATGTATTTGATTTAGATTCTAACTTCCATTCAGTTTCTAAGACTTCTGATCAGTTACATACAGCAAACAACAACTGAAAACTGTGCTGTAATTCAAAGTTATATAAAAAATTTTGCAATTTCAGATATCTGAACATTTATTTCATAGGTTAATTAATTGTGATAAAACTTCTGTCTACTATAATATGGTTGTCCCACGGAAATAAAGCCGTATTGAATGTGTGCCGTAACTGGACATGGAGCAAACAAGTGAGAACAAAACACGAATATTCGAAAAACCCATATGCAAATACATATTCACAATGAGTCACTCACTTATTGTCTTACCTGCGCTGAAAAGAATAGAAGAAATGCGTTACAAGAAAAAGGGAAAATCTCCTTTTGAGTAAATACAACTGCTGTTAATAGGCTTATGTATCCGCCAAGTTTATTACCTCAGATTTCTATAACGGATTCATTTCAGCCTCAGACTGAAACTGCGTACCATCAGCAGATACAGCCTTATTGAGAATACCCTCCCGCATAATCGTCGACAATGAAATCAGGGAAAAAGGCAGACCTTTCCACCACATGCATTATATTATTCAATAACCTATATCGTGAAGCTACGTTCGTACGATTACGGAGGTGTTATCCAGCTGAAAAAATTGTACTTGGCCATTAGTTCTCTGCAAACGGCAATAAATGAGTTCACAACATTTCTTAACCATAGACGAAACTTTCCCACAGCATTAATGAACCTCCACTTTGCTATATATTAAAAAAGAAATTCTCTTTTATTTTGCTTTGCAAATACACTATAAGGCCGTAAAGGCCATCTTAATTCGTTTCTTTTTTACTCTTTTCTGTTAACGTATAGCTTTCAACATAAGCTACTGTTTAATTATTTTAAATAGCAATTACTTATACTACATAAAAAGAGAAATATTAAGTAGAAATCTTCCGCAGTTGACAAAAGGTGAAAGCTAGTTAATGATGCGAGAAGACTTTTGGTAATCATAGTAAAGTTAACCTGGCTTTTCTCTCAGACCGAATGAGTGCAACTTAAAACCAAGAAACGCATTTATTATCATTTTTAGAGAAGAATTGGTGCTCCAGGATGAAATTTCCAGCACTGTAACGTTTCCATTCATGTTACGGAATCTTCATAGTTACAATATTTAGAATAATATAGTGCATCCCATGCTATAGCTTGCATTTTTCTCTTATATCAATCCCGAAGAAAACGTAAAAAAGCAGGCTCAGCAATGTTGCCAATGCTTGCTAATGGTGGACAGTTTCAGTCTGTGATTGAATTGGAGGTTGCCATCATTGAAACCTGGGTTGACATTGATGCTACTGTCCTCTAGAGATTTGTATGTGCCGCATAGTATATTCTAAGTCGTGGGTAAATATAGCGGATAAATTTGGTATTAATAGCACTGATTTTATTTCAACGAAGCACTTTTTCCTTTCTTTTTTAAACAGTCTCGAAACAAAGAAAAGTGTCTGGCAAAGATGCAGATCCTCAGACTATTAGAGACAATTTTGCCTAGAACTTTTATGTGTTTGATTTATATACAACTCTCGCAATTATTCATCTACTACTATTTCTGGTAAGCCAGTCAGCGAGGAGTAAGAACCATGCCTCTTGAAGACGCAGTAATAATCTGTGGTAAGCCATTCTGTACACACTTTGCCCATATCTTGAGCAATTGACCTTAGCTTTGATCCGTATAATAGCATCTTGACCTGTATAAATTCATATATTATTCGAGCAGCAAATATTTAACACGAGAAATCATTTGTTTAATAAAAGGATGAAAAATCATATAGTAAAAGAAGTTTATCCAAAAAGACTAAGACGGAATACAATGTGAATAAAGCACAAATTAAGTTCAGAAATGATCATACTATAGTTTGGTTCTATGAACAAGAGTCTTCCTCGATGTCTTAACGCTAAAAAATTTTCTAAAAGTCACCTCAGTGTCTTTTGGTGTAAAGACACTGAAGGAGGTACTTGTTTATAGGACTGAAACTATAGTTCATTGTTGTACTTTATTTTTGCTTCATTTACATTGTTTTTTGTTTTAATAAAATTTGAATTAAACAAGAAAGGACAATTCAGTTTCATGCATATCGCATGTTATTGCTTGCGCAAGTGACGACATTTAATGAATTTATTTATATTTTTAGTGGGAAAAGCTGGAGATGTCCCCTGTTGAGCAACGAAAAGTGCTCTGTTCCATCACTTTCCATGTGGTAGCCATTACGTGTGTGGTGTGGTCCCTGTACGTACTCATCGACCGAACTGCCGAGGAGATGCGGACGGGCGTTCTCGAGTGGCCCTTCTGGACTAAGCTGATCGTGGTTGCGATCGGATTCACGGGCGGACTCGTCTTCATGTACGTCCAGTGCAAGATGTACGTGCAGCTCTTCAAGAGGTGGCGAGCCTTCAACCGCATCATCTATGTGCAGAATGCGCCTGAGAAGTGCTGCCAACAGCAAGCTGTCTATTCCGCGGCCGAGATGACCGCTAACGTACTCGCAAAGAGCGAGGAGAAGCGGTTCTCCCCGGACGAGGAAGAGTTCCACAGCTGCCAGAGTGGCAGTAGCGAAAGTGTTAGTGACGGCGAGGGCCCCAATGAAGAGGGGGCTCCTACCGCCACAACTAATGCCACCCTCATCCTGGCCAACGCGGCAGAGACTGGATCAACCAAAACGACGTTGACATCTGTGACTGACAGTGCCCCGACGAATGAGGACGCTCTCGGTGGTCATCCCCTCAGCGAAGTTGTCGTCGTTTCGAATGTCGAAGACGATCTTCCACCCCCACCACCCTTGGTGGTCAGAGACGTCACCCCATGCACAGGGGACGAGGCGTCTCTGAGGGACGCTTTTCTTACTAGGCAACTGCAACAAACCGCCAGCTGAGGGTCTTTTAGACCCTTGTAGACAAAGTGATGGATGTTAAGCCATGATCACGTTGATTCCTTCGCACGCTGCATCAATTCCTCACCATGTTCTCTTATAGAAGATCTTCATTCTGAGACAATTGGTAGCTTCTTCGATTAAATTTAAATAAACATGGCATTAATCGGTTTTCCTAACTGGATGGAAGTATTTTTATTCAGAAATAATTTTTATTGATCAGTAAAAACTGTAGGCTTCACTAATCAGAAAGTCGATGCACCTGAGAATCTGATTGGTGCAATGAAGCTATATAAAGTTTTACGCCATTCTGTGAAAAGAAGCTACGCCGTGGTAGAAAACTTTTCATGAGTTTAAAATTTAAAGTATTAAAAAAATGAGTGTAAGTAAACCTTGAAGTTTTGAATACTGAAATTTTCCTTTTGATATTTTTAAATAAACTTTGGAAGATTTACTTCCCTACTGCGTTATCCTGAGTAATAAAACATTAATTTGTTTGCATTTTGGTATTTTGAAAAACAATTTTTGCCATTTGAAACAATTAAAATTTGCCATGAAGTGTTTCACCCGCGGTATCGAGTCCTCTTAACTACATATAAAATTCGTACGAATCGAACTTAAAATAGAAATAAAATTAGTAGCTCTTGTTTTTATTGCTCTCATGCTTTATATAAGTTAATCTCAAATTTTATAAATTAATTCATTTAGAGGATCATTTATAGAGGGATTAAATGTTGAACTTTGAAGTGTAAAGTTAATTTTAATTTGTAACTAAATTTTCTGAACGCGAATAAAAAGCATACTAATCCGCAAAACAAGTAAAACTGAATACGTAGCTGCCTGCATTTACATTCTTAAATCAGAGTCTAACATTATACTTTCGCGAGTCAAGGTGAACTTTTAAACCTAGTTCATATAACTTTGAATAAAATTCGGCACAAATTGAATTTAAAATAAAAGCTTTAAGTCATTATCTAGATTTTTAAAATATTTTTTAAGCCATTCATTGATTATTACTTCTTAAGTTTACTTCTTAAAATTTGCGTTGAAATCACTTCAAAAAAAATATATACATATTCATATACTTCTAGTCTTAATTAAATACTAAGTGATAGAGATCTCACGCGCATCACTCAAGGAATTAATTAGTATCTTTAAATATTAGTTTTTTTTTCTCAATTTACAAAAAAAAAATGCCAATAATGAACTTTTTCATGACAAATGATCACTTGAAGCGAAGCGTTGCGCTGAGAGCATTTATCAAAGAATGTCGGTTGTCGCAGATATGGAGAAATTCAGTTCACGACCAAGGCAGAGTGCCAAAGAATCAGCGTGTGTGACTGGTTTATTATTAATCATTTTTACCAAAAAGCATTTTTTGATTTACCATCATAAATAAGATATAAGCCTCCAGGAAGTGAGGTACGCTTCATTTTATCATTACTTTCGGGTTTTGTTAAGCTGTGATCATTGACTTTTATTGAGAAAAACTGCAAGTGTGCTTCATACATTAGTCTCAGAAGAAAGCGGAGTTAGTGTATATTTCTTCATATCCTTTATCTTTCATTTCTTCAAAATAGATGTATGTCTTCAATGTAGAACTTCTTTTCATGTTTTTGCTGTCCCCAATATCAACATGTTTTTCCTCTGGTTAATAATTTATGAGCTAAGCATATGAATGAAGAGCTCCCCTGCTGTTTTAATAATAGATTTATATTCTAAAGAAATTGTAAAAACTGAGAAATATTTCTGGTAAATTTTGTTTTGCAAAAATAACCATTTTGCTATATGTCATTCATCCTAATACCATTAATACTAACAAATTCATGTTTACTTGCATTAACGTTTTTTTAGGGAAAGGCTGGTGATTTTGCCCTAATTTTCGAGTGAAAATTTAAAAAAAGAAACTCAGTTTTATTGGAACAAATATTCCTCTAAATTTCGAAAAACAAGAAAATATGTATCTGGAATTTCCAAAGTGTTAATTTTTTTTGCACATAAATTTAACTTTAAATTTCAAAAAACTGTAATTTTCTGAATTAGTAACTAACACGATAATACATCCAATTGAAACCTGATAATTCCTCATAGTAACTATGAACTCCGTAAAGAAAATTTTTTCTAGTGCTTTTATTCCAGTTTTAATGAATAATCTTTCATTAAAAAAAGTTGTGTACATATCATGAATTGCATAGTACTATATAGTGATAAGCCATACTTTTTGTAATTATTCAACAACAGAGCTTTTTTATGTCAAGCTGTTCCGTAGTATTGTTTTTAAAATAGGTACTTTAAGAATTTAAGAAATTTCCAATAATTGGCAGCTTATTATACAGAAAAAAGTATTTTTGCATACTCAAAAATACTGTTTTTCAACAAAAAAGCTCTTTTAAAAATATTTAAAAAAAATATGGCCTATCATAAAGTTGCTCCAAACATTTCATGTATATACACATACATAAATATAAAAGTTACATAAATTTATTACTTGTTAAATTTAACATATTACATTTGTGGTTTAACCATTAATTCCTTCAATTATTCTTTCAATTCACAAAATCTCTCTAGTTTTATAATGAGATCCTGAAAATATTTTGGAAAAAAAATTTTATGCCATAATAATGATATAGTTATGCCATAAAAATATAAAATCAGCACATCTTAAAAATTTGCTGCATGCATAATTTGCTATAAGTATACATTTCAATTGACTAATAAAATATCCATATCCAAGTTTATTATATTGGGAGCAATTTTTAAAAGTATTCAAAATGGTATTAGGATAACTAGTTAAGTCTTAAAGAATTTCAGGCCAACAATTTAGGCTAATAATAATTCTGTTTCTGAATTATATCTTTCAAAGCTGTAAATCCTACTGAGCATTCTCTTTTATGTAGTTCTGTGTTTTAATTAGTTCTGTTTTTATGATGTGGTTAGATTGGTTTATTTTCTAAGCTTGCAAGACTAAAAAAAGCTGTGTATATTGTAACTTTATAAAAAAAAATGTGTTTTTGAATATGTGAAAAGCTACTATTTCATCATTTTTGCTGAATCATGAGCTACGTGCTGTTTAAAAATCAACAGAAAAGGTTTCTTTTAATTTCATTAAATTAAGCATTTCGGTAGAGAAATAAATTCTTACGTTTTGGCACAAAGCTTAGAAATTTTAAGGTGCATTGTTTCTTAAACAAAAAGCTTTAACAACCATTTTCAAAAATTTACTCTTATTATCTAGTCATAATACATTTCACTGCATTGAACCAAATTATATATGTAAATAAAGCGCACGCTGTTGCTTGTATTTCAGTATCGTACTCTAAATTGTGTTGTATAAAATTGTTGGATCCTTTAGGTCAGCGGTTCCCAGATGGTGTTCCTCGGAACCCTGACGTTCCTTGAAAGGGTCATAAGGGTTCCCAGTGATTTTTTAAATCAGAAATAATTTTTGAAACTTCTTATTTTATTTTATATTATGACTTTATATTTATTATTTATGAAATTATTTAAGTAAAATGCCAATAAAAAAAGAAATGGCAAATTTAATTTTAAAAAAATTCATTAGTATTTCTCTTTGAACTTTCCAATTCAAAACACTATGACCTAATTCAAGAATAACGGATTTCTTTAATAACTATTCTCAACTTTTATCAGAGTTATTTTTTCCGTAATTTAGCTAATTTTAACCATTTTCAATAAATGCATACACCAAAAATAAATTCAGAACTAGACTAGATACAAGCCTGCGAGCACAACTGTTTGACATAAGTTATTATTTTAAGAGTTTAAAGGATGAAACGATTCTTGAAAAAAAAATCATTCTTCAGATTAAATATAATCAAAATAATTGGAAGTCTTTGGTCAATGCATTCGAGGCTGCTAGTACATTTTATTCATACTTTTGGGAGTTCCACCAAAAGATGCTCCATCTATTAGTTCCTTAGAGGAAAAATTGGGAACCGCTGCTCTAGGTTAACATCTAAATTATTCCTTGCATTATTTTATTACGCAAGGTCGGTGGAAAGTTCTAAATAAAATGGTTATATTTTTAGAACAGAAATTTTTATTTAATCATAGAGTAGACAGGATGAGTATATAGACAGGTTTTTAATTTTGTAGTCTGATAATAGTCTGCTTCGAATGTGAGAGATAACGTGACTTGTAAATCTACAATTATTTACATCAGGTAAAATAACTTTTTCTAAGTTAGAACAAAATAGAAAACAAATCGTAGCTAGTCATCTTTTAATTTTATGCGAAAATATTTTTTAAAATGTATGTTTAGTTTTTATGATGCTTATTTTTAGATTACATACTTATCCGGTATTTTTTAACACACAAAATTGAAATATCAATCTTAAATAACCAAATGGATATTTTTAATTACAAAATCAATCGAAAAGCTTAAATAATAACGTGTTAAACAACATTTTTAAAAACTGTCAAATAGTTCGGTACGAGAACTTATTATAGATGAGTCTAATTAACATTAATTTATATTACTAAGTTTTTCAGTGAAAAACATGTTTAGTAAACATAATTTCACTGGCACTGTATGTTGTAGACTAATTTTAAAAACTCCAGCTCTTTGCAAATGTATCAGGCATTTTGCAATGCGCCAGACTCATTTGAAAAGTGTTAATCTTTTTACAACTAGTTTTAAGACTTAATACGATCAGCTAATATGTCCTTAGGTTACTTAAAAAAACATACTAATTCTTACATCCATCCTGAATTCGTTAAGGATCATTTCAATAAACCTTTAATAAGGCTATTTACAATGAGTTTTTCCTTCTGTGGGCTTATTCCAAATTGCCTAGAATAAAATTAATATAGTATTTGAGAAATTAAATAAGCTAGATGAGAGATGTCTTATAAATAGAGTATAACAGCTCTCTGCAATTTTCCTAAAAAGTGTCAGGCTGGTTAAAAAAAACACTAGAGATTTTTCCATTCAACCTGATGCATTAAAAAATGACGGTGACTGATTTCAAGAGAGCTGATTATTCATGTAACTTTAAAGTTGATTTTTACACATTCACTAAAATACCGCTTAACACGTTCTTTCGATAAGCTTTTCAATTGTTATTGCTTCTTAACATGTGATATATCAAAAATAAATATACTTTGATTTTTTGCAGATACTAATTTCATCAAAAGCTGTAAATAGTTTTGTATATTTATATTATGCTTATGAATTTTATATAACAGCAATTATAATCTATAACGATGTACTTATTTTAAATTAAAAACATTTCGATTAGAACGAGTATGAAGCTTGCCAACTGGTAGATATTGCAAGCTATACCATTACGTGACGGAATATAATTTTTTAAATATTCTTGCATGATCAACCGCCAGTAAAATTTATTCTCATAAAATTTTGTTTTTTTATTGAATAATAATTTGTAAACCAGCTATAATTTTGCTAAAGAAGTGTACACATTAGGTTTACACAATTTTATGTATTTGTTATTTCTAGTCTGAACGATATTCCTAAATTGCATATAATAAAGAGCTTTCTCATCATCAACATTATGCTACTGACTTTCATAATGCTTTAAGAGACAGAAATACGAAAATGGGTTTTTGTTATGTGCTCATAGTTACAAAGTAATAAAGAAAGCTTTAGAAGTAATAAAGAAAGCTTTAGTGATTTCTCTGAAATCAATAAAGTTCTTTCTAAAATGTAAAACGATTGATTGAAGATTTATCTGTCAGACGAATATGCAGAATGAAGTAATTCTATCATATTCAATTTTATTTCCCTTAACAATTTAAATTTTTATGGAAAAAGTAAATTATTGTCTACTGCATATGTACTTAAAGTGAAACTGTTCTTTTCTTGTAAACAATAACGTGTGTTTTAACAAACACAACTAACTGTAAGTATATATTCTAGTCAAAAACTCTATGTACTGTCGTGTCATTCAATCATACGACTGGGTGTTACTTTTACATAAGATATCACGTAAGATCTTATATCATTGAAACTTTTGTTTTCTGTGGAACTAAATACTAAATTAAACACGATCTGGAAAAAATGCCCACTTAGATCACCAGATTTAATAACCTGTAATCTCTTCTGTTTTTTTACTCTGAGGAACGTAAAAAGAAATTTTTTAAATAATATCTAACCCACTAAATGAATCTCTTTTATTATTTTGCTTTTTGCCGAGCCGGTTTTTTTGACGTATTGAATTGCAATGATTAATTGGAAGTTTAAAGTAACCATCTTAAACAACTGCCAATGTATCAACGCACATTCTACCCGATGATATAAATGAACCAAGATGAAATTATGGAACGGGATTTTCATTGATATGTGTTGGCTAAGAGGAAAATATTATTTTTTTAGTGGGAAAAAATTAAAAACATTATATAAAATAATAAATATAAAGGAATCCTTTATTCCCTAATGACAAAAGCTTTATGGAATAAATATTAAGTTTTGCATTTCAATGTAATAGGATCGTACGTGAAATCGCAAACTTTGTGTGATGCTTTAAGAAACTTTTGCTGAAGGTCGAGATGTGTATAATAATATTGGAAATAAAACTTTTTTAATGATATTTGTATGCGTACTTCAATTTATCAATGATTCCTTTCAAATCAAACGATAAATAGATATAAACTTTCTTGTTGGATGTTTAAGTTTTATTACAAGAATTATTATTGACTCAATGGTTATTTGAAAAGTAAACTCTTTCTCAACCTTGTAATTGCAATTTTGAAATCAATCATGTTGTCTAAACACAATAAAATACCAACATTAGCTCCAGGTCTAAGAGAATAACCTTTGTTTAAGCGAAATTTTGCCAAATTAAAATGAAATTTATGGAACATTTCCTCGGTTGCTAAGCAACCAAGAAGTGCTATATAAAGCTCTTCGGTTGATTTTAACCAACTATACCCGATTTTTCACCTCTATGGTTTCTAAGAAACGGACTTATCTTCCAAGAAATTTTGTAGAGATCTTCTTTTCAGTCCTACTATGACAATTGGTAGATAGAGTTGAGTAGTTCTCTTTTGTTGTGCTATTATAATAACTCGTAAAAATTTTGAGTTTCGTTTTTTTTTTTTTTTTTTTTTTTTTTTTTTTTTTTTTTTTTTTTTTTTTGATTTTTAGCTACCTAAGTTGCCTAAGAAAAAGACTATTAAAATCCAACCAATGTTATATTGGACCTCCAGTTGTAGCTGGCCATCAAAGTTGCGAGAGATGTGAGGAAATTAGTTGTCCCAGTTGCAGTAAACTCTAGATTATCCGTGCACAAGAACGAATTAGAGAACTCAGCTGATAAATCATAAAATGTTCAAAACATTGCCCCTTGCAAATGTAATTATTATGATAAATCACCACTTAAAAAAACTTTTTGGCGATGAATTCCTATTCTAAATTACGAATTATTATGAATGTGTAATTTAAAATAACCTTAATTACCTATTGATTAGTTTTATTCATTAATAAAGTAAACTTCCCTCTTTCTTCAATCTTCGATTTTTAGACCTAATCTTAAACACTATGACTTTGACACCTGCCTATTAGTTTCACTTTGATTTCTGCACTGTGTTCATACAGTTCTTGTGCCTTTGAACTAGAGTTTCCCGTCAGAGTTGCAAATAAGTCATGGTTACGATTCTTATTATTTCACGCGAACTTTTGTTTCATAAATAATTCTTCTACTTTAACATTTGTTTACTTTATGAATTTTCTTATTTATAAAACAAACTTTCGTTTCATTTTACACGATTTATATTTAAAGGGACTACGCAATTTTAATATAATCATTTTTTTCTTTTTAAATCAAATTTCTTTTTAAATAATTGCACACATAATTTATAATATAAAATATTGTTCAATTCTTTTTTTTTCTTCTTAATATTGTTTCTTTATTAAAATTGTTTAATTAAGTTTTTACACATTAAATAAACACAGCTTTATCTTAAATGAGGTATTTCAATTTCAAATATAACAACGTTTTTTAAAATTTAAGTTTGCATTGATTTTTATCATAACAGTATTTTTTATGTTTGTGAGCAAAATTTAAGAATACTTAATCTAATGAAAAAAAATCTTGCAGCAAAAATCTATAATTTAAGTCAAAAATATTTTATTTTATTCTGGAAAGTTTTATTTTATAATGAATTAATTGTAACTTTTTAGTGGTAAAATGTAAATATCAACATATCAATGAAAAATAATATTCAAAAATTTCTAAACCGATACATAATCACTTTAATAAATTATATTCATAAGTTTTTGTGTTATGAGGGCTATGTATATCATTTTATCGAATTTCGAAAAAAGAATCAAATTTTAAATTTTATTTTCGAAATAGTTACCGAAATATAAACTTTTTTTTAAACTGAATCTATATAATGTATGAAAAATTAGAATTTTTCCAGACAAAAATATGTCTTGAATGAATAATATGACGATTACTCAAATTATTATTCATCACAAGCTTAACTAATTATTTATGAACATTTTTTAATTTACCTATAACTAGACTATTGAAAAAAATAACACAGGAAATATTAAATAACCGATATTAATTAGTGAATTGCTATTAATTTGTAATGTAAGCAATGTAATAATAAAAGCAAATTTATTTAGTATAGTAACTAACTTAATTTAAAAAAATGCGAGTGCATTTAAAGTAAAATTTCTAATTGTTTCCAAAGTTCATTAATAGTCACTAATCAAGTTTTGGGTCATACGATGTTTATATACGTTCATATTATATATGGACATCAAATTTTTTTCATCTTTTAATGGTTTTGCACGATTTCAATATTTTGTACAAACGTAATTTTTAAAATTAATTTCTTCAGCTGTTATTGAATTTTGAAAAAAGTGCACTTTACTTTAATCGTAGAAAAAAGTAGAAATATATAATTTGAAATTAACGTTTATATAATATGCATAATGCCGCCCGGTGGCTGAGTGGTAGCGCTTCGCTCACCCGTCCCACAGGCCGGGCCCACAGTCCTCGGGCCGGGTAAGGCTGACTCAGCCTTTCATCCCTTCAGTGGGTCGATAAATAAATGAGTACCAAGCATGCTTGGGAACTAAACACTGGGGGTTTCGCTTTCGACTGACCACCAAACCAGAACATCTGCTTCTGCACCCCGGAGCCCAAGGTCAAAAAAACTGAGATGGACACAGTAGGCCTTGGCCCTCTATGAACTATAGCGCCCCTGAGTTAAGTTTTAATATACATAATACTAGTATTAATGTAGGGTGGTTAAAATTTAACCAACAGTACTCAGAAGCTCGTAGATCTTGTTCTACGGAATAGATCCGGGAGAAACGTCGCATAAATGTTGTGTTGATCATGGGGTCAAGGTTTCCGTTAAAAACAAAACTCGAAATTTCTCCATCAGAAGGCACTTTACTATTAAAATCATACGCATTGAATAAAACATGCAATTTTTTTTATAAAAGCGATGCGTATTGTTTGAAGAAATCATTTGACCGCATTTTTACCTGAAATATTTTGTTATTCTTTTTTATATTTTAGCTGTTATATTTTTAATTTTCTATTAAAGCTGTTGTTGTTGTTGTTCATTTACGTCGCACTAGAGCTGCACAATGGGCTATTGGCGACGGTCTGGGAAACATCCCTGAGGATGATCCGAAGACATGCCATCACAATTTTGATCCTCTGCGGAGGGGATGGCACCCCCGCTTCGGTAGCCCAACGACCTGCACGCGAAGTCGAGCACTTTACGGTAGAACAGTTTAACGAGGACCCATACCGCACACCCTCGGTCCCTACGCAGGCTGATCCAAGTGGTGACCCACCCGCACACTGACCGCTGCCAGTGATGCTTGACTTCGGTGATCTGCTGGCAACCGCGTCTTAACGATCAGTCCACTGCGGGACACATGTATTTGAAGTTTCATCCGGTTCTATTCAGAAGAATCGGAGCTATGGATCTCTGAACACTGTCAGTTTAATTTTAACTACCCCGTACTTTCCTATGATTTGATAGAAATTGCATTTGAGTTGGAGACGAAGTCGAACAATTCAACGACCGACTCAGCACTGTCCTGCGAAAAACTGTTTTTAGGTAAAACGCCACTTTTAAAGATGTACAATTCCTTAAAAAAAGCAATTTTATTTCTTAAAAAAAAGTACTTGCTGTCGTAAGGTTGTTGAAATTTATACGAAATTAAAAAACAAAGGAGTAAAGAAAAATAGGAATCTCTACATTAAATCAAACAAAATATCACTCTTTGTTTTTGAATTTTCTTATAATTGTTTGATGAACATAAAAAGTTTAGACAGTAAATAAAATGTTTGCTTTTTATTTCATATAAAAATAAGTTAAAGAAATAATTTTTATATTTCAGTCTTTCCTAAAAAATATTTATAATGAATAATTAAACATTGAAAAACACTTAACAGTTACGAGGTTAAAAAAAAAACAGCATGGGTTCCTATTACATTCCCTTTTCCTCTATCGCTTACGTAAATGTATGTTTTTCAATATTTTTCCCTTCATGCATAATTTGCAGGTATCGATTTAATGCAATCACTAGTGTATAATTAGTGAACACATTTATATTTTTCGAAAAATCTGAGCAATCGTAAAAACAAGATTTGTCCTTGACTGCTCACATAACGGAAACTTCTTTTAAATCATATTCTTACTTTTATTGTTGGTTACACCATACATTTTAATAATACGTTTTGATATCTTCAAGGCTGCTTGAACCAATACATTTTTGCTACGGATATCACTTTTTTCCCCTTTCTGAATTGATAGTCATTATTACTTTTCAGTTAAACAATTGACCGAAATCATCGTCAATAATGAGGTTGTTGGCTGATAGGTGTAAATTGTAAAAATCACGTGTTAAGGATTTTTTTTAAAAAAATGTTTTTTTATGTTTGTTTTAAGATTCTTTAATCCTTTTTAAGGCCGTGATAAGTATACTTACTACCAATTTTTAAAGTTCATGTTAATTTTTCTACAACTTTTAATTCAGATTTCCATTTGTTAATAACTTCAGCTTTCTTGAAGTGCGTTTGAATAAAATTGGCAACCATTTTTTAATATCAGAAAACTTATAAAAGTTATAAAATGCATTATTCCTTCTGAAGTTTGCAGCATTTATAAAATTTATTTAATAAATAACGAAAAATAAAAGTCAATAGGTTCCTAATAGGTCGAGGGAAGTACACTTACCACCAAAAAAATGGCATTAAAATTTAAATTAATTTTTTATAAGCTTGAGTTTTGAGTGAAAATGAGTTTTTCTTTTCTCATATCAATTACTATTCTTACATGAATTTCAATTCTAAAAATTCTTTAAATTACCTTTACTAGAAATAAATGGTACAGTAAAGGGTTAAATTATGTACCCTAGATTTTATGACCAGAAAAAATATTTGAATTCTAAATTTTTGTGCAAATCATCCTGGTTCTACTACATCGTTCGGAAAATTTCAAAAGTTGCAGTTACGTTTTCGAAATTAGTCGAAGACACGACGTGATCAAATCTTTGCTGGTTAATTTCAAATTCAAGCAATGTTTAAAAATATGTTCTTTACAAAAGTAC